CCAGGCTGAACCGAAGCCGGGCCCGGCCTGCCACAACTATGGGGGATTTAGCCCGGCCGGAGCCTGCAGGCTTTGAAAAGCCTGGGCCTGGCCTGACCGGGCCCAGCTATAGGCCGTATAGGCTAAGTACCTGCCACCTGATAGGCCGGCCCGGCCTATATGGCCTAGCCAAGCCGGGCCCAGCCTATGAATACGGGCCTACAACCCCCTCAGATCCTTGATTTCCATTCGGCTCATCTCCCATTCCATTAAACTAGTTCAAGTTACTCCCGGGGGAGAACCGTAAGTTATATAGTCCCTACGCAAATTCCACGCACTGGTGTTAACAGAATAGAACGAGTCTCAGTAAGACCACTAATAGTATTAGGCACTGATCCTATGTGCGGGTAGTAATATGGATTTGCTCGTGGTTGATGAAAACTCCTGAGGTCTAATAGGACTTGGCCAACCATAGTGGGCGCATTCACTGATAGATTCCTGCCGAAGAAACTGAATCGGAAGGAAGGATTGTGAGATAGGACTGCATTGGAGAATCTAGAGGTAGATTTCCTGGACTTCTTTGAGCTGGTTGTGGATCAGTAATCGCATAGTTATTGTACTTCAACCAACAACTAAGGATAGAGATAAAATAATAAACCACAATGAAAGTTGTAAGGAATCGAGCCACTCTTAAAACAATCAGCTCTAAAAATCCCACTTACAGGCCTATAGGCTCCTACCAGGCCTGATAGGCTTCGGCAGGCCGGTTGAGTTCGGCCTATATCCGCCTAGGCTCATCGTCAGAGCGGCCTGCCTTGGCCCAGCCTACGGCCTATAGGCCGGCCTATCACTGGCCTAGCCCGTTGGGAACACTGGTTGAACATTTACCCTTTTGAATTGCTCACCACATAGGACGAAATAGTTCACGAACAAACAACACAACCACCACAAGCCGTTTGTAGTAGGTTCAGCACTTTAGCTTCCGACACACCCCGAGACCGAACCCGTGTATCAATGTCAGCCTCATCAGACACCGGCCCATCTTCAAATGAAACGCAGCGAGATCTACCATTACCGAAGAACAAGATCCTCGGCCCCTACCCTTTTCTATCATTGGCATGAGGGTTCACTATACCCGCGGCTACTCACCTCCCACCTCGGAAGCAATACGGATAGGCACCTGCAAGATCTGGTGGTAGATGGATAGGTTGGAAGGTTCGGTAAGAGGAGGAAACGTGTCAAAGAAACAAGTTCTACTATGAGAAGCATATACGGAAGTTGGTTCTTCTCTTTATTCTCCTGGTTTTTTGTTAAGTAGATACTTCAGTCTTTCTCCGCGTCATCCCCTATCTCCGTGTTCAGTCATTCGTTTCTTAGTCTTTTACCTTCTCGAACTCTGTTTTCTATAAAAGGTTATCCATCATCATATTAGTTTGTACCAATACAAGAGTCTTGTGTTGTTCGGTAATCTAGGATTGGATCCGCGGTGCCCCCATTAAAAATCACCGGCACTCCACTAGCACTTGATAGCCTAAACCACATCTATTTATTACGGGTATGCCAGAAGCTTCCGGAGACAGTTTTGTATTGATTTCCTATTTGTAATGCTTATGAGTGTTCTATTTGTATGGGATGGAATGCTCTGGAGGTTCTTCGATATCCCTGTGCAATATAAGATGCTTAGCCGGAGAGGGGTTGTGGAGCATGTGGTTGGAAGGAAGGATGAGATTAGTTGATTGAGGAGGGGTAAAGGGAAGTTAAGAGAAGCTCAGAGAAGGAGCAAGAGGTGGGGCTTGGAAGGTCATCTGCAATATAAAGAGGGGAGAGGATTGCGCGAAAGAAAAAAAAAGGTGTGGCAGATAGCAGCAACGAAAGCAGGATCCGGGATACCAGTAACGACAAGCAACCAAAGAATCTCTCGCACAGCGCACAGAAAGTGAGCAATTCCGTAAATTTACAACACCCCCCACCCCCCTTTGTTGTTCAAACTAGAGGTCGAGGAGAAAGCCGCAGACCCGAACCATCCTACCATGCCCGGCGCCCGTAACCGGCCGTCCTTTTGGGGCATTTCCGGGGGTTGGCCTGGCCGGCACCGCCTGTTGTGGGGTGGGACCTGTGGACGAGCAAACAGACGATGATGGTGGAGGAGAAAGGAACTTCGTTGCTGTTCTCCGGAGCGAACCCTTCAAGTTACACATGAGACGGCGAACAAGATATGACTGCTCACTCCAACCTCATGCTATTCAGGCATCCAAACCCTCGTCTCCACCGGTGCACACCACACCAAGGATCATCAACACTCAACACACACCATCACACCCTTGGTTGCCCATACACTCTCAACAGCACTGATCTCAGTGGTCTTCCGAGTGACAGTACATGATTGCCAAACTTTTTGGTTGTCCCAGGACATATATACATCGACATAGATTGAACGGGTCACTGGTGTATGTGCCAATAGAGTCTACACGTAAGTACCTACAATGGGTGATATGTTATGATCGCCATGATTTCTTATGTGGGTTAGGGTTGAAAAACCTCGGGTGTTAATCTTGGTAGAAATCCGGAGTGTAAGCTCATCCACTCGCTTAAATAGTTGTGCTCCCGACCAGACAATCTGGGTAGGGAAGGGGAGAGAGAATTCTATTGCTGAATTGCTATGAAGGGTGCTTGTTGAGACACGCAGCTGGGGAGATATGAGGACAATGGATTCGAGGTTCGGGACGATAACGAGGTCGTTAGAGACTACGGCTTGGTGATCATAGAATAATTGTTAACGTGCGGGGAATTGGTGTTTATGCACTGCGAGGGTTAAGAGTATGTTGGGTATGATGATACAGTATGAGCTGGCGTAGCGTTAGCGCTACTCTCAGCCCTTTGAACCCCGCGGAAAAGCTATTTGATTCCCTTGGTGTGTGTGAAGCTAACTTCAGGTATTTCATTGCATGAGGAGGATGTTGGAACTATCAGTAGAGCGCGGTTGGTGCTTAGCGATATATGCTGGCGTCTGATAACTGCTACCCGTTGACAAAATACATGCTGGTTAATCTGGATATATCAAAGCCCACCGTCGCCAGTAGGCACTCATAAAGTCTATCTAGGTTTGGGGGAAATCGGGCTTATAAAGCGGGGGTGAGTCTCACTATGATCTGTCCTGGACGC